ACAAAATAATATCGCGAACAATCTAATTATATAGGTGCAATGTAAGATGATCGATTAGGTTATTGGCCATTAACGAAAATTAAGCGGAAGGTTTTTGGCTTAGTTGAATGAATTTTTGTACGAAATACGTGAATATCCTGGCTGAAGGCAATCGATTTTTTAGAGATGGATGGCTCAAAAAAAAGTTTCTGAATGCAAATTTGGTTCAGAATATAACGATGACATTGGAGAAACTATTCACACTTCACTTGAGCCTGCAAGTGAATTTTTTGGGCAAAAATTTTCAAAAAATTTTCAGAAAAATAAGAGAGGATTATGAGTGAAATCTGCATAGTATTCTCAAACATTAATTAATTAATTCTCAAAGGCGTAAGGAGAAAGGTGAAATGAAATATAATTAACGATATATAACGATATATGAATATACAAAATTATAAATGATAAATGTTCATAATGAAAATTTTAAATTTCCTCATTTTATCTACTTTCAGTTTCAAATAAACTCCTTGAGGATGCATTAAAAAATTGGTTAAAAAATATAGAGGACTACGATGGCGACAGCCTGTCAGTTTGCGAATTTACAAATTCATTTTATGACTTTGCACAGGTTTTTCGATTTTTGCGCGTTTTTGCTTGCATTCATGAATAGATTATCAATGACATAACTTTTCCACATTAAGATTTTCAGCAATATGGCAATATTTTAGATTGCATCAGGATCAACTACAGACATAGGTTGTGCTACAAATATTTGCAAATTTGAGCAGGATTATGAGGGTGATGACGTAGTAAAAGAAAGAAAAGTTCAGTTCACCGTTTGTAAATTCTGGCCGAAGTAATATTTTTCCGCCTTCAGATTATTTTTTTTTTATTATTACTTTTATTATTTTTTATGTATTTTCAAATATTTCAAGAAGAATTTTACAGTGTGGAATCATTCAAGAAATTATACGTAAAGGGAAAGCGATGTCATAGAGGTTGGAAATGCGCCAAACACGGTTCATTTTGCAATAGCGATAAACTCTGTGAATTCGAATCGCCTGGGTATTATGATGAATGTTGTTATGAGAAATGAAAAAAAAAAATTCAATAAAATCCAATTTCTGAAATGCACTACATAATTTCATGTTTAATCGTTCTTGCGAGATTAACTAACTAAGCTAAAAAAAATTTACCCGAAAATAAATGAATGGCGCACATTTGAAATTGAAATTCAGAAAATAGAAAGTCGATCAACGATTTCTTAAGGAATTACAGTTAAACAACCTATCATCAGTCAGTCGACCACAGTAAGAAACGAGCAGACTATCGAAAATCGAATTTTCCCATTAGACTTTCATTATCTAATTAGTTAATTTAATTAATGAGAACAAATCGCTAGTTCTTAGTGATATACAGGTGCTTCAGTGGCCGAGACAATTGCCATAATTGCCAACGAGAATCTAGGCCGAGGTTCGAAACTGACAAATTCACCGCCGGGCGGTGTTTAACGAAAAATGCAAAGAATAGAAGAATAGAAGAAAAGATTAGCTCAGTGAGTTTTTGCTGAACTCAGCCGATGCTGAAATGGTGAAAAGCATACTAAGATATGCTAATCTATATATTCATAGCATCAGGAGTTCTCCTTTTTGAAGAACCTTTGCTATTATAAAAGATTCCTAAAAATGTCCATCTGTGCCAAAGTCAAAAACATTAAGCATTAAAAAAAAAGTCAGTATAAGCTCATTAGATTATTTGGCAGTAATGATGTTCCTTGTTTAAATAGATAATGAAAGAAAAGGCAAAACCATTCGTCAGAATCTGCCAGATAACTGATATCCAAGAGTATCGGTGTGGTATCTACTTGTACTTTTATCCTTCTGTAACTTTTGATTGAAATAATATTGAAGCATTCCGTACAGAATATATGGAACATACAAATATGCGAAACTGATAAAAAAGTTAAGAAAAGAGAAAGCAATCACGCCAGCTCTCGAACAGATGACAAAATTCGAAAAAAGTCGAAAGTCAAATGATTCGACGAACGAGCACAGTGAGCCTAAACAGAAAAATTTGGTATATAAATGGAATCATTATTTTAATGCAATAATTCATTCCAGTAAATCATAAAAAAATTAAAAAATTACTAAAAATTACTAAAAACTTAAATGAACTGAAATTCAAGCATAACAGCAGATAAGCACCCTTCGTGTTATCATTCTTTTCATTTCCAAGCTTATTTGAAAATTTTATATTATTCTAAAAAAAATTTTGATTAAAACCGGTCGTTTATTTTTTCATTTAGCATAATTTCTTTTATTAAAGAAAAATTAATTTGCATATTTTTTTAAAAAATATAATTAATAAAAATATTTTTAAAACTCCACTCATGTTCTTTATTATATTTTTTCGATTATTGCTTATCACAAAAAATTTTTGTCCAAATTAAATAAATAAAATATTCTTTATTCTATAAAATCATTTTATAAAATAAAGCATGCAAAAACTTTTGTAGACTAAAATTTTGTTTTACATTTCTCGCTATTATTCAAATCAACTGCGACATCTTTTTGGCAATAAACTTGCTTTGCTTCAGTAATGTTAACCATTAAGTATAAGATAATGTCTCGAATTTAAAATTATTAGAATTTAAAATTTCAACGTTATAGTTATATGCGCTTTTATATGCGAAGCACTCTTTAGCCTTATATTCCTTGTGGCTGCTACTATGGATCTGAAGGTGGAAATACGCCAATGGACGCAATTGGTAAGTTCGTGATCAAATATTACAATTTCATATTCGAGGATGCATTTTCTTTTCTTAAGAGTCCTCACCATTACTAGTTAAACTCGCTCTACTGGTTTATCACATTAAACAATATGTCAGGGAATCCCTTGGCGATAGAAATACAGGTGAGTCACCAGGATCACCCGGATTTTTGTAAAGATTTACTCCTGCGTGAAATCGAACCCCAGCATTGACGCTCCCAATAGAGCAACAACCCACTGAGCCATTCTATTCGAGGATGCATTAACAAAATAAAAAATAGAAATTAAAATAATTGCTTGCAAATTTTATAGCGATTAGCGATTTTCTTTTTTATGTATGCATCGAATATAAGTAATGTAAAACGTTTAGCCATCGATTATGGCCATATCACTATGAAAACATCCAATCCGATCTATCAAGTTGAGAATCGTTGGCCTTGGTTAGTGCTAGGATCGGAGATGGTCAAATCGTATCGTAGCAGTATGCAAATTTTTAATTTATGATTGCTATAAAGAGAACAGCGATAAGAACTGCAATCATAATTTCTTACTTCAGAATAAAAATAGATTATGATATTAATAGGTACGCTTTTCATACATATCATATTTCATATCATATTTTGTGGATCAATGCTTAAAGTGTTGTCTGACTCATGGTGAGTGCTACGGGGGAGCTTATTCTACAATATAACAGGTCAGTGAAATCTCTCAGAGAATCCTTAAAGACATTAACGATAAAATAATAAAGTGCGAAAAAATGATAAATGATAAATGTCGACGACTTCATTGAAATTCTTATCATTGCATTTATTTATAATTTAATTTGGTTATTTATAACTAGATGAACCGGTAGAACCGCACCTTTCGTTACATTTGCGTTTATGTCTATGTTTGTCGGTGTGATCTTCTTTGCGTTTGTGTTGGCGGTTGCCTTATAGTGGTGAGTGCCTGTCACGTGCGAGACCCAGGTTCAATTCCCGGCCGGGGAGTCCCCGTTTTTCATGTATTAGGGTCATTCACTATTTCAGCGGGTTTCGAGGGTGATAGTGTGTCAACCTCCGAATTTCTCGATACATATAACGAATTCATACAGGTTTGTTTTTTAACAAACTGCTCTTTTAGATAGATTACAACTGATATGAATTTATCACAAATTCATCATAATTATCGTATTGCGATTTTCATTACCGCAATATTTTAGAATGCATCTGGATTAACCGGTGTTGGTTAGTCCAATGTTGTGCAACAAATCCCTCGTGCACATTTACGCATGACTATGAGAATGATAACGCAATAAGTGAAAAAAAGTTCAGTGTGCCGTTTGTAAATTCTGGCTAAGGTACCAATTTCTTACATTAGATTATACATTTTTTGCATTTTTAAATTTTTTTCATATTCATAATTAATTTTTCAGTGGAGAATCGTTCAAGAAATTATGCGTAAAAGGAAAACGTCGTCATCCAGGTCGGCAATGTTCTCTTCCGAATTCATTAAAAAATGAACCATATGAAATACGGCAGTAATCAAAAAGTATAAGCATATAAATATAAGTATATAAATATAAGAATATTTGAATGAACTTAGTCAACTGTGGAAACAAAATAAGAATTTATCAAATCGAGTAAATTTTTGATGAATTCGTTAGAATTATTTCAATTTTAAATCTTCACTAAATCTTTACAATATTAAATCACAATCCTAAAAAATTTACTTAACAAGTGTTTTTATATTCATTAAATTTGAATTTAGGAAAATTGGGTAAACTGGTCACCAATTTTATAAAAAGTTCATAGGACTAAGCTCATAAGAAGTTAAGCAATCTATCATTAAAATGCAAAACGAGGAGACAACTATTGAAAAAAAATTCGCCTTAGACTTTTCTAACTACCTCAATAGCAATAAATGTGGAACTACCAAATGCCAATGATATATAAATGAAAAAGCAAGCCATATAGTGACTTACATATTCATAGTTTTGCGAGTTCCACTTTATTTGAAATATCTTTGATGTTTTTTTCATGAAAAAATCCTAAGAATGTTAAGGTGCGGTAAAAATTTTAAGCAGTAAAAGTACAGTAAAAAATAGAATAGCGCAATAAGTTTTTGCGGTGATACTGTAGAGAATGTGAAGGCGCAAATTAGTCTCGGCAGTGATAAATCCAAATAATAAAATAAAACCTGAAATTTGAAATGATTCATTAAAAGTATTGAAAAGAAAAGTTGTAAAAAAAATTGAAAGATTGAATGTACTAAAATTTCTTTTTATCCGATTTCTTCTTTGAATATCTACGAATCCGATAAAGTTTTTATTATTTTTGCCATTTTGCCAACTCGAATTACTGTACTTAAATTATTCTAGGGCCATGAAATTTATAGCTGTGGTTATACGAGCTACAATTTAGTTTTCGCTTGATTATTTGGCAAAAAATTAGATCCAAGATATTTAAAGTTTATTATGTGATACTACATCAGGCTGTCGTAGTTAAGAGAAAAAAGACTTATTTAGATATTTCCATCGCATTTGTATCGATCATGATTTGGATTTTTGCCATACTTGTCGATAAATTATTTCTTGCAATTCTTCAACTTTCAATAACCAGATTCATTAACATCATGAACGATACGATTTAGACTTCCATAACCGTAAAGCCGATGGCAATAATATTACTTAGTTATACGAAAAAAATCTATTAATAATAGATTCATATGGAGAAAAAATAAAAAACTTATAATAAAAAAATAAAAAATAAAAATAAAACTTGAAAAAAATATCTTAAAAACGAATCTTACTTTTACCATAATTTCTAACCAGTCGAGCATTTGACAATAGTGCGAGCAAATCGGCATTACTAATTACTAATTAATCGGCATCTGAATTACTAAATTTTATTAATAAAATATAAAATTGAACTGAAAGTGAACGATTTAAATTCGGCGCATGAAGGGTGAAATAGCCGAGATACATAAAGCGTTAATTGATATTGGACCACTATAGGTTCGGTACAAATCCATCCTCGATCCGAGTAAGCCTACTGTAAATCCGAATTGATGCGAATGACCCGTTCTATCTTCAAATGATTCTTTCTTATAAATCACTAGCATCGTTAAATCGTTAAATCAGTAAGTCCAACTAAATCAAAAATGCAGAATTTATTTATTATTTATTTAACGATTTATTTAAGCTTTAATTTAATAACTTTAAAATAAATAGGTCAATGGATTTTCTTGATTTTATTTTTTTGAAATCAAAATATTTACTCTTATTCGATCAATTTTAAAACAAAATTTCTGATTTTGAAAAAAAATAAAAATTAACGCTGTAACAATTTCGATAAAATGAACGATCAAAAATGTAACAATTAAAATGAAAAAAATAAAAATGTCTAATAAACTTAGAATATTCATTTTTTATTATGATTTTTATTTAATAATAATATTTAATAATATGTAAAATATAATAACATAATAATTTAAAAATAAAAAAGTCATATCAGTTATCGTCCTAAATAAGAACAACATTTCTCCAATTTGTATTAATCCATTTAAAATTTTTCATTAGAAATCATTTTAGAGTAAATGGGGGTACCTAATCAGATTTTAATTTTTTCATTTTTATCATAATTTTATCGAATTCCAATATTGCTCCTATCACTCCTGAAAAATTAACAATTTCCTGCATAAATATAAATGAATTAAGAAATTCGCTTGGAACTTGTAAAAATTGTGAAATTCAAAAACTTCTTTTGTTATTTATTTAAATTTATTAAAAACATAAATACTTCTATTATTTATTATTGCTATTATTTTCTTGGAATGAAATTTCTTTTATTCGTGAAACTTTTATGTTCAGGAAGCAACTTGTGCAGACAAAGAGTTCCTATTGAATAGAGAGATAGATTTATAAAATGTTTAATTTTATTATTTAATTTTATAATTGTTTAAATCAATTTTGAAAATTCGAAAACGGGCCAAGCAAGATGGGCGCCATATTATTACTTACTAAATGAAAAATAGAGTGAAAAAATTTTAGCCAAAGAAGAAAAAATTTTAAAAAAAGTTGACAAAATCCATATGGAACAAAAATAGTAAAAAAAAAATTATGAATATTAAAATAAAATAAAATGAAATAATGATATTAAAATAATAAATAATTTAATGAGAATAATTTGATTAAAAAATAATGAAAAAATTTGCAATTTAAAATTCACCAAGTGATTTCTTATATAACCAATTTAAAAAGAATGAACTTAGATGAAATTCCTCGGTTTTTTTAAATAGATTTCACCATTAATGGTTAAACTCAATCCATTGCTATTCTAGGGAATCCTTTGGCGATAGAAGTACAGGTGAATCACCAGCATCACCTGGAATTCTCTAGATTATTGCCGATTCATGAAAATTTAGCCAAAAGCTTTTGGCTTACTGATGCCGATCGGAATTTTTTTGAGATATATATATATATACAAATGCACTCACAAAATAATTTACTTTAAAAAATTCAACTTAAACGAAATTATTTCGCTTGTAACTTCAATACATAAAATATTATATGAATGGATTCTTGAAAAATTGGCAAATTTTCGCATATGCAACTTTGTCTTGCAAATAAATCTATAGAAATAAAAATTTTCAATCTAAATAAAAATTTTCAAAAAAATCGAGAACGGAAGAAAAAAATATAAATAATGGCACCTATAATCGCAAAAATTTTCCATTAAGGAGAAAAAAGTGAAATGTAAATTAAGAACGTTCAAGTGCAATTAATGACAAATAGAATGACCCCAATAAAAATTTTCACCGTGTTTTTATTTATTAATTTTAAAGAAATTTTATTTGTTAATTTTTAAAGTGCATTTAAAAAATGGATTTAAAAAACAAATGAAAAATTTATAAGACATTTACAATCATTTATGATGGAAAAATTAATTTTATTAATTATATGATTTTTGCGAGAATTCGAATAAGTTTCTTAGTGCAATGATAATTTAAAATTTATAATTTAATGATTAAATTAAATTAAATTAAAATAAATTAAATTAAATTAATTGAATGAAAATTAAAATTCGCTTCATACTCAAAACAATATTATATGAAATTAATAATTTCACAAAAAAATAAAGCACCCTATTATTAGTTAGGAAAACTACGCTAACTGTCCGAAATAAGCGAATTTTAGCGAAGTAATTGGTCGCGCACGCTGTAAATTATAACCACATGAAATATATTTTTCGATTTGATCGTACAAGTTTGCATTTAGAAATTTACAAATGAATATGAGGAAATATGTTTCGTAATTATGAGAATCTAGGATCACCTAAGGACTTTTAATGACCCATTTAACTTATCGTAACAAAACATGCCCACACCATGATGAAATCTTAATCATGCTGCTTTCTGGAAGATACTAACAGGAACATGTGAAATATTTGAAAAAAACGAATGCTAAACGAAAAATTTTAAAAACAGATTTTTTTAACAATAAAACCAAGGAATGCGAAAAGTGTTTCAGTGTTCAATAACAAAATAATAAGTAGTTTTTTAGAAAGCTTGTCATTACTGGTTAGACTCGCACCGCTGGCTTGTCGTATTGAAAAAATTGGCAAGAGAATTACTTGAAGATAGAAGTAGTTGCTAGGATAATCTGGATTTTTGGACAGCTTTACTGCTATGAAGAGCAGAACCTCAGCATCTGTGCTTCGAATCGAGCAACAGTGTTAAGTTACAAGGCCTTTTGCCATTTAGCGACAGCTCTTATTTGAGGTACTGATAATATTCCTACCGTGAGTTCTAAGATTATTCCAAAATTTGGTTTTCAAAGTCAAGGGGAAAGAAGTTAGGAGAGAAAAGAACGTGGGGAGGGTGGGGAGGGGGGGAGGAAATTTAGTTTGAAGTTTTCATTCTTAAGTGTTGTTTTGGGTTTTTCTTGTTGTCCATATAAACATGTTGCAAACTGAACTTAAATAAGAAAATGATGGATTACATTTCACAATATTTCCTTGCTTAACTTGCTTAATCGAGAAAATCATACACGATTGCTAAAAAAACTAATTCCTCTTTTATATGCCATTTTGAAAACCAACAAACCAAGAATAGAATTAGATAAAATCATCTAAACCATCATATGAGATTTTTCAAAGAAATTCCATTGAGCAAAATACATTAAGGAGAGTAAAAATGGATGAAATGGTCGTAGTTGTTAAATTTTACAAACAATGCCGCTTTGCATATAATATATATAATATATATACATATAATTGCATATTTTCAGCATAAAAATTGTTGCAAAAATTTATGAAGAATTTTTCTAAAAAATTACTAACTACAACACCTATGAAAAGCCAATATTTTTTGTAGTGCGTCAAGAAAAAAGATAGGTAACTTTTTTTAACTTTTAATTTTTAATAACTTTTTAACTTTTTAATAACTTTTTTAACTTAACTTTTTAATAACTTTTTAATAACTTTTAATAACTTTAACTTTTTTTATAATTACTTTTTAACTTTTAATAACTTTTTTAACTTTT